GCGATGCCGTTTGGTGGTGTTCGGCCTGGAGGTCGGCGGCTGCTCCGCCGGCTTGCTCGCGCTCGCGCCCGGGACCGGGTCCCGTGGGCGCGGGCCGCTTCAATCGCCGCGCCCACGCCCCGCTGGACCGCCCTCGCAGCGCTCGCGGCCTTGCGCGTGCACGCGCGCCTGCTGGAGCTGCCGATTCGGCCCAGCGACGGTGCACAGCTCCGCCGACACCTAGGCGGACCAGACCGAAAAAGGTGGGGAAAAAGAAAGTGTGTACACCTTTGGACGGATTTTTGTGTTTTACGATTTCATCAGCAGCAGGGGGCTCTGGGAGCATGACTGGGACCAAAGCCAACGAAGACGCCCACTTAGTGCTTGTGAAGCGACGATGGTGTGTATGGCATCAGGCCAAGCCGAGAACCGGTCCGTTCTGAAGCTGCTTCAATTCAACTATGGGTGTAAGTCATGTCAGGTTGAAGAATCCAGGATACCCTACCTATGCAATTTCATCACTTTCAAGATCTTTATTGGAAAGGGCTCAGAGTGAAGCGATTTATGTCGACCAAACAAAAAATTCCGTGTGTGTGTGTGTGTGTGAAAGAGGCGGCCCGCCGCGCATGCGGCCACGTGCGCAGGACGTGCACACCACAGAGCCACCATGGCAGAGGCACAGGCGAAGCGGATCACCCCGGGCCGCCCGATGCCGCCGCATTCGAGCCTTGCATGCGCTTGCTCAAATGAACCAGCTTCCACCTGTGGCAGGAAGGCCGGTGGACGGACTGGTGCGTAGTCCGTGGTCCGTTAGGTTAGGTAGCCCAGTCAGCTGCGACCGCGGCTGGAACACCTTTCGTTGGGCAGTTCGAAAACTCAGTGCAAGAAAATTAACTAAATGTTCTGAGCGCGCCGGACATGAACCGCCAGGCAACCGGCTCCCTGGTTTTACATCCCGTAGCTCCTGGAAGCCGCAGGGATGCTCACGACGGGCGCTCAACGCCAGTGGCACAGCTTGCCAGCCACGGGGAGCGTCGCAATGCGTTGCCGAATGCTCTGCGCGACCCACGCCCAGTCATCCTTCCCACGTGACCCAATGCACTTTCTCCATGCCGTCGCCGAATGCGATGCGCACGACCACGATTGTCCCGCGCAACGTGAGCTTGTACAGTAGGGGAACCCAGAACTGTACAACATGGCATCGATGCTGGCCTTGCTTCTGGCACCGCCGTTGCGTAGAGGAGTACGGAGGCATTGCCGCGGCCACATCGGCACCAGCGTTGCCAGACGATGTGCAACCGGATGACGGGGCAGCCAGCGATAGTGACCGCGCCAACAGTTCTGGCGGCGCAGCACGCGTGCCGTTCCTGCGAGTGGCCGTGGTGGTGCTTTGACCCTCGCACTCCGGCGTTTGCGGATGGGCAGGAGGTGGCCTCCAGCCCCGTGCGTGGAAGTTTTCCACAGACTCCTCAGCTCCGGCGCACAAGCCAGAAAAACGGCCGAACGAAGAAGGGCCACTGCTTGTGCGAAGGTGCGCCGTGGAGAAGTGTCACGCGCCCGCCAAGCCCGTACGTCAACGGAGTTGGTTCCAGGCAACCAGGCCACATGGCAGGCTTTGACAGACTCCTCCGAAGTCGCCACAGAATGGGCGGGGACGCCGGCGTGTGCACGCACAGCCAGTGCACCTGCTGCTTTACGTAGCACAGCGCAGGCTGTGCGGGTGCACCCTTGGAACGGCATACGCTCCCCGCTGCACGGGGGTTTTGGCGTTTCACGCTGCAGGTGACCCGCCTGCCTGGCACGAGCCCCCCCGACTCGCGCTGGCTGCAGCCTCCTGCGAACAGCCGGCGAGGGAAAACAAAAGAAAGAACCCAAGGCGCCGGAGTTGGCAGGCACATGCTGTTCGATGGTCACCAAGCGGGTGGGTCGGTGATTGCTTCGCGTGTGGGGCGGACCGTGAAGCAGCAAGCAGCCTGCGGCCCAACCTGGCGGGGCACAGGGCTCCGAGGCATCCCAAGCGGGGACGTGTCCGTGCGGCAGCCGCGACGGCGGCCACTGGCATGGGGGGTGCTGCTGCGAGCGCACGGCGGAGGTGGGCGGGGAGCGTTGGGGAGCGTGCCTGGATCGCTGGCAAAGTGTCGAGCCAGGAAGTTCAGTACGCAGCACCCAGCCAGAGCAAGTCTCGGTAGATGCTTGGCACAGGGACCTGGACTCCTTTCGCACGGACGTCTAAAGGGTGCGGAAAACAAAAACCGGACTCGAATATGTAGAGCAGAAACTGTGATACGAGCTGAACAACCCACTTCATCGAAGTCGCAGCGATCAGCGGGATCGTGGTGGCGTACTGCATGTGTTTGTGAAGAATGTTCCTAGAAGGGACCTCATAGACAGTCACGCGCGCATTCCGTCGTGAACACGCTGCAGTTGGGATCTGTGAGAACATGTCGTCAAAGACGCAGGACCAGGAAAAGACGTAATTCAGCAACAGAAACCCAGACAACACGAAATGGCTAGCAACAATTGGATTAATCTGCCAGATGGACAACCAACACAGCAGTGCCAAGAAGGTGGAGCAAACAGCGGAATGCGACGCTATCCAACATTGCACTGCAATTCCTGCAAAACTGGGTTTTTCGTCGGAGCTTCCAGCAGCCAGTGATGGTCTCCAGAAGTCATGCGTTCATTTAATTTCGATCTGGCGCGGCGAACGCGTTTCAGACGAGATTGGGCGCTCGGACTGCATTGCCAGTGCTTGTTCGTTCAACTTGTGGAAAACTTTTGGAGATTGCCACGAAATTCATTTCTGTCTGTCAGCAAGGCATGGCAGTTGCCATTGATGTCATCCCGGACAGCGACAGCGATGTCGCAGAGATTGTGGATGTGGTGGAGATGGTCGATAGCTACTGGACCGGAATCCAGCAAGCGGTTTGGACAATCGTTTCCATGGTCAAGATGTCGTTGAGTGGCGGACCGTGTTATTTTTTCAATTTTTTCTTCCACACTCGCAGGCGACATTCCAGGTTTTGCTTTCATCGCCAATCATACCCCTAACACTGGCAGTTCTTAAGGGACTTGAATCCGCGGTCATGCCCCATATGATGCCGAGAAAAGAATCGGTCTGATCATGTTGGTTCCTGGCTCCGTGCTGTTGGCGACTGATTGCTACACTGACACGTGGTGTGCCAGGTGAAGACGAGGACGAGGCTTTCTGCTTGCAGTCTGCATTTGCTTTCAGCTCATTTTTCAGAATCTTTGGTGTTTTTGCGAGGTGGCAGAGGTGAATCCATCGGGCTCGCCCCCTTTGAGCTTCCACGGGTATCGTCGCGGGCGTGAGCTCGGGCAGGGCGGCTCGAGCCAGGTTTTCGTTTGCAGCCACGGCCCGAGCAGATTTTTGGGATCTCTTCTAAGCAGTCTGCAGTGTGATTACGACTTTCCTAGCGAGGCAAGGCAGGCTGTCAAATCGGCTTCGCAGCCAAAGCGGTAAACCTCCGCAGTCGCTTAGTTGCGTCCAGCACCACATATGGATTTTCGACACGTAGTTTTTCATGCACATCCACGTCTGGAAAAGAAACGAAGAGATGCTCAAGTTAAGGATTGCGCATGAGCCCGGATGTTGAAAGGGAGCTCAAGAAGCTTTCCCGAGAGGCTGCGTTGTGCGGTGAGAGTAGCCCATGTTTCTGCGCGGCGGCTGGCCTTGTCCAGGTGGACATTTGGAAAAAACTTCCCGGCCATCCCAACATTGTTCAGCAGCTGAGCGGCAGACAAGCGCTGTCGAACACCGCCTTACAGCTCTTGCGTGTGCGATGCCATGAACCACCAAGTGTGGCATGCCTTTCGCAATTCCGCACATGACTGCAGCAGACTCGAACTTTGTGAAGCATGTTGAAGCCATGTCCGTTTTAGCTCCATCCCATGTGAGAATGATATTGGTAAGGCTGGTCGACTCGTTTCAAGAAGGCTCTTGGTTTCTCATGGTCTTGGAGTTGGTCGGCGGTGGCGACCTTTTTACGGCTCTTTGATCGGCATTATTTGGTTGCATACTTGTGAAGGTCTTGCTCGGGGCAGCTCTGCGACAATTCGATTGTTGAGGTCCTCACGTCCAGATCGCCATCTCGATTCCTGGACCGTGAAGCCGCCTACATTGGAACGCAGCTCGTGCAAGGGCTCGCATTTCTTCATAGCCAAGGCGAGCTGTCAAACGAGGGGGTTCATTGCTTGTGCTGACGGTTCTGTGCTGAAAAGGCGTCATACACCGAGACCTAAAGCTGGAGAATGTGCTGGTTGCCTCCCAAAGACGATCTTACACGAACGGGCCTATGCTGTACAATGCCACTGGGCTGTGGAGCATAGCAATTGTGTGAACCTGCTTGTTGCATCCCGCAGCTCAAGCATTCAACGAACCAATTCGCAGAGGTCAAAATCACGGACTTCGGGCTGTCGAGAGCCTTTGCTGCCTTACTGTAGACCGTGTCCAACAGCATTTCGTAGGTTTGGAAGATGAATCAAGGCAGGGCACGCCAGCCACTTGACTCCTTGACTGACAGTCTGCACTTCGGCTCTTGAGGAGTTTTGGATCCCAGTGCGTCTGATGCCTTGTCGACTGTGGGCACCCAGCCGTACTGTGCGCCAGAAGTTCTTGGCAACTCGGATGCCAGTTCCAAGTGGTGTTGTCCGCATCTCCGGCCCTTTGCTGACAATCCGGAACCAGGTGAAGGGTCCCACAGCTTCAGCGCAGACGTTTGGTGCTTGGGAGCGCCTGGGTTCGCAAGTCTTCGATGATCCTCTTGTGACCAAGCGCCTTTATATGCTGGGACGACGTGCAAACACATTTTTGTCTTCTTGTGGTAGCAATGCTTCTTCTTGTGTCGCTATGTGGCAGATTTGGTGAGGTGCTGCTGTTTGTCTTGATCGCCGGGCATTTTCCGTACAGCAGCGTGCCGACAGAGCAGCCAGACCTCGACTGCATAGTGGACAGCATCTCAGCGACAGAAGCTGCGAAGGCAGTGGTGCCACTACCTAGAGTTACTATACGGGTCGCGATAAGCGTACTATGAGGGCACCACAAGGGTGTACTAGAGGGGGTGTTGCTTACAAGGGTTACTGGTTACTGCTGATCCTCAAGTCATATATGGCATATGGGCCTTGCGCGAACCTCAGCCCCGTCTGCAGGTCTTGCTGCTTGGACTCCTGCAGATACAGCCGCAGATGAGGAGCCACCTGCACCTGTGGCAGAATATAAATGGCAAACACTTGCTAATTGGCTCCAGATGTCCTTGGGTTTGAGTCGCCACAAGCGGATGGTTAACCAGACTCGAAGCACTTGAACCGCAAAAGCAATAATCGCTTGCTCTGGAAGGGACCGTCCGATATACGAGCATCAGCAAAACGGAGAGCATGTAAATCGATTTCAATAGTGGCGTACACTCAGGCCAGACCTCATCACCCACCAGTGGTTCCAAGAAGAGGATGATATGCAGGCTCAGCCTTTGAAGCGGCATCGAACGCAGCAAATGAGCCGCTCGGCCGCAAGCGTGTGGATTGCTTTCTCGAGTTTTGCTGGGCATCCAGACACCCAGTTGCAGGCGATGTTGGCAGCGCGCCAAGAAGTCTTCAGGAAATTCAGGCCATGCGACTGCCTTCAAGACGGGTTCAGGGAAAAATCACTGACATAAACCCCCGATGTGTTAGCCGCTACAGTAGCCTACCACTGTTGGCAGAGTTCGCACAATTCGTGCAGACTGGCAAGGGTAGCAGTTTTTGTCAGCACCATGGGTTCCTGCGACTAATACCCATGGTCCGAGGTAGCATCAAGGAGACCCCTTTACAGGGGACCCTTCTGCACCCTGCTTCTGGCTCTCTTAAACGGGACCTTATTGAGAGGGTCTATCTTCCCAAGGGTCCCCCTAGCCCAAAGTCTCACATGGAGCGGTTCGACAGGAAGTGCCACAAGCAATCGAAGAGGTGGAGACTTCGCAACACTCGCCATGCGATTCACCTTTTCCCTGTGGCTTGCTACACGGTGGTTGGGTCTTTGCAGTCCGCCGTCGTGTTGTCCAAGTAACTGCTTTAGGGTAAAGGTCCTTTGCTTCCCAAGGTTCGCCGTTTCCGTGCGAGTCCCCGTTGCCGTGTCCATCGCCTTTGCCCGCAGCTTCGCCATTGCCTGCACCATCACCATTGGATATGGAAGGCATGCTTACCACTCAAACAGCACCGGTCAGTGCTTCCTGTTGTCCTCGATGATTGGGGTTTCAGAGCCATCATTCATGTCATTGCCTCGGCAGGAATTGCTTCGCCGGGTGTTTGGACGCCGTTTGCAGTGGAAGCCACTGTGAAGCTGAGTGAAGTGCAACCACCCGCCGACTTGCAACCGGATTACATGCAGGCTGCTCCATTCTCACGTGCCTTTGACTGCCGCTGCCAGTCTACCGACCACGGCTCCCGTGCCAGGTGCATGTTATCATCCAAGATCGATATGCAGGTTTCATCTTGGGGAAGAGTGGTACAAGAATCCAGAAAACGGCATTCAAGAGCGGCTGCAAGGCCTCTCTTCTGTCCTTTATGTCGTCTGTCTGCGTGCTTCATGTCTTGTTTTGGTTGCTTGTTGTTGTACTTATTGGAGCAAAAGCGGCACTTAAGGTTTGGATGACTTCACGAGATGGCAGCCAGGATCGTCGCGTGATCATCATTGGCGGCTACAAGTAGCCTTGGTGCGATTGAACCCATTCTAGTTGGTTGATGCCATGCTTAGCCGTGATGCAACGCAAACTCTCAGACAACTGCCAGGCAGTGCAAGCTGGCACAGCAGATGATTCACGAGCAGTTGGCGAGCCTTGTTGGAAGGGCTTTGACACACTGTCCTATGGAGACAACTCTCTGACAACTCTCTGATGTGCTAGGAAAACGAGGCTCTTCTGTTGCTGTAGCCAAGGACTGCGATGCACATGGACTGGCAAGATGCCGAAGCCGACACTGTCCTCCTCGTCCGTGCCGAAGCAGCCGGTATGGTGACCGGGAAGCAAGGCATGGATCCCGACAAGTTGCTGCACAACCAGGAACACGAGTGACAGCTGACACCACCCGCCATGCCTGCAGGCTTCGTGTTGAATCAGATCCGTAAGCAGTCCGGAGCACAAGTTCAGCTGCTCCGCGATGAAGTGCAAGGAACACGACCTTGTGTTTCAGCTGCATGCATGCGGCAGGACCCTGCGCAAACACATTCGGCTGCCATGTGCGCGTGCATTGCAGCTTGTCGTTTTGCAGTGTCTTACGGGCTTTCCATCTCAGGCATTATCAGTGGCACTCTCCAGAGCATCCTCAGGGCTCAGAAACATATCTTTGAATTGGTGTTCCTCGGCAAAAATGTGGCGTGGGCGGCCCTGTGCATAATCTCCTTCATATGCTCGCAGCACATGCAGGCGAGCCGCGCCGGTTGTGGTCCGCCCTACCACTCCAAATTTGCGACCGTCACAGCAGCCGTTTGCCGGATGAAGTTCTACGGATTGTTTTGTCAGACCTGGACCGCAAGTTCAACCAGGCAAACTGTGGGAGGCACTGCCAGGACGACATGCCAGACATGTCACGAGCCAGATGGGCCTTTTTCCTTAAGCCTTAAGCAATGTCGAGCTCCTGAGAGAATCCGGAAAGATGCTCGCTTCTAAACAACTCGTTTGGGCCAGAGTTCGAGTTCAGTGAAAGGACTCTCAAGTGCTATAGGCTTAGCTGGCTCGGAAGACCTGGGCATGTGGAAGTCCTCGGCCGGGGAACTTTGCCAAGCCAGTCATTGTTACAAATCTTCAGAGCTTCGAAGCTTCGAAAGCTTGGTTGAGGGCGGATGGGCGGATGGGGGCATCAAGATTCTGCTTTCTAACTGCTTTGGGTTGAAAGCTTGAAAGCTGGAGAGTGGGAGCATGGCCATAAGGCCCGAGGCCGAAACGATGAGGTTTCCAGCAAAAGTCGCCAGTCGCATTTGTGAGTTTTGGCATCGGATCATACTCCCCTCTCGCCCTGGTTCCGTCGCGTGCCCCCTGCCTGTAGAATTGTGATACAGCGCCGTAGCACTCTCAAACGGCACTGTGCCGCTGGCCGATGGCCGCGCTCTTGCGTTGCAGATTGGAAGGTGCAGTCCATCCTCTTTGCATGTGCAGGCGGCTTCTCGTGTAGGTTCCACAGCGCTGTCAGACATGGTTCGTTTCTGGCACGAGATTCCCGCCAAGCGCGCTGTCAGCCTGTAAATAGTAGTGACATGCATTGGCTTAGAGATTCCTTCGAGTGCCCTGTACAGATCCCTGCCGGCCACGGCATTAATTTTGTTGCTCAAAGGAAGCAAGCTCAGAGGGACGGGGGATGATGGACATGTGTAACGAAAAGTTGTGACCACCGCTTGCATGACATCTTGGGCGGCGATTTCCCGAAGCCAAGCCTCTCCTGGTTGTGGCCAGTGACGGACTTCACATCGGCTCAAGATGAGAAGCCAGCTTTCACAGGATTGGCGTCTTGCAGAGACGAATGCAGGAGGATGGCAGTGACGGCACTCCTTCCCATCACCTTGAGGCCAAACTGGAGCTTCGAAGTCAGCTCGAGGAGGCAACCTCCACCACCACCGCAGCACCGCTGAGTTTGACGGATCCACAGCCGTTTTCATGCAGTGCTGGCAGTGCGGATGCAGCAACCACCGTAAACTTGGATGGCTCGAAGACTCTGTCTCCTTCACCGCGCTCTCGACCGCCGGAGGCTGTGCAGCGCGAAGAAGAGCTCAAAGAGACCTTCCGCAGGGCAGCTGAGAGAAGCAGCTGGAATCCCGACTATCAGTCAGACGAGAGCTGGAACGGACGCCACCATCTGTCATATTGCAATGATGAAATGAGTCAGAACTGCAGATGTTACTTTGACCGATGGTTGGATCACAAGGAACTGTTGCCGCAGGATGCCATCCAGGTCCAAAAGCCAACATGGCGACTAGAACCAGATGGTGTCAGCCCTGCACAGCGCAGGGTGGAGAGGCAAGCAACATGCATCTACTCTGTAACTGGGCCTGGCCTACGGGCACCTGTGCCGTCTGCGCAGCCGGTGGATTCGGAGGCAGCCGGGCTTTCAAAGGAGAACGTCCTCAAAAGACGTGCCATGCGGGTGTCGCGCGAAAAGCCGTGGGAACTGGCACCGCCACCTTTCTTTCTCTCGCAAAGGCGTGCAATGTCCCGGAGCTCATCGGATTGTGGAAAAGTGTCTGCAGGGACGCAGACCGAGCTATTCGGAAAGGAGCTGCCGAACTGGATGAAAGAACAGGCCTGGGATAGCCACCATCACGCCACTTGGAGCAACTTCCAGAACCTCCAGGGCGCGATCTTGAATCCAGCACCAGTGCGGTCGTATTTCGATCGCCCGCGTGAGCCTGATGTCGGGGCACGAAGTGCTGAAAAGAAGCCTTTGGATCCCAAGGAGGGTGCTGTGCGTATTTTGCCACTCTACCGGCTCGAACCGTTACCAGGAATCGACCACGTGGAAATCCCAGAGCGGGGCCTGTGGCCACGATTTGAGCCCCTTGAATCCCGATCAGGGGTGCCCTTGCAGAAGCGTCCCGAGATCCTTGGCATCAGGCCGCGTGGCTAATTCGCAGCTACGCCGTTGCTGCTCGCCCCCTATTTTGTATCGGGTTCTCTGGGGAGGCATGATGCGTCACCAGAGTTCAAGCACAAGTCGACGTGGAGCTGCCCGTCGGAACCTTACTCTGTCCGGGCGTAGTTTTTCTCTGCTGACTTGGTCGACAGAACCGGTTGATCTTGCAGAGCCCCAATGTTAAGGTCCCTGCTCACAACATCTCCGAATCCAGAGTTGGTCGAGAAGCAGCAGAGCTGGAATACCCGACACCAGTGCCTGGAATGCACAGAACATGCACAGTGCCAATTCTATTCAATTGCTGGGACTGAGGATAACTTTCCAGAACGAGGTAACCGGGCTCAAAATTCATGAAGCGTCGATGCAAAAATGCGAGCACCTGGTGGCGTAAGGAGGTGTCGAGGCTCGACCGTTCCTACTTTGACCGATTCCGAGAACATCATGAGCTTCGCGCCCCGGATTCGCCCCGCCACGCAGACTGTTCTGCAACAGGGCTGCAGACTCCCTTGGCTGAAGCGCGGGAAACTTTCATTGGGTGTTTCCTCCTGAGGTCTGGAGTCTTGGTAAGGACGTCTCGACCAAGGCCAGGCCGGAAAGGCTGCAATGCCTGCGAAAAGTCTGCTGATTCGCGGCTTCCGCCCGAGGAGTCCACGAGGACGATCTTGAGCAACAGCGAAGAGCGCTTCCGCAACGATGGCAAGTGGATGTAACCCAGCCTGATGCATCCTGCTCCCTTTGACTTCCGTTTGCAGGCGATTGTTTCCAAAGAAAGACACAAGAGACGACGTCACTTCTTATGCTTGTTTGCATTTTCGACAGCAGATTTGGACAAGCCCGGCTCCGCGGAAAGAGGAGGTGCCGAAGGGAGTGGGTGGGCAAGGTCATCCTCAAAAAGAAGGGCAGGATTGGAGGGACAAAGGAAAGAGAGTGCACGTATGCCCCCTTGGTAGATCTGAACTTGGGAGCGCATGACCAGCGCGGGAAGTCAGCAACAGAGCGGCCAGAGCGGGAAAGAACGACAGGCTGCTGGCCTTGAACTAGGTCTGATGTGTCTGAGCCCGCTGCGCAGAAACTTCGCAGAGAAGCAGAGATCAGCTGATCAGCGGATGCTGGCTTCCCTGCACTCAAGGGACTGAAATGCGTGCCTGTTGTTGAAGGGTTGCTTTTAAGATTCAGGCATCGCCACCAGCTTGCTTTCGACAACAATGGTGGAAGGCGGCAAATTCCGAATCAAACGCTTGGTCTCCTTGTTTGGTGACGAAGGATGCCTGTCCAACGAAATCTGCGATGTTACTTCGATCGCTGGCGTGATTTTCCCTCGGAGGTGGTGCATACTTGCCAGAGCGGTAGCAGCACGTGTGGTTAAACGCTGCCTTCGTACATGGCTCAAGCTGACGTGTGCACGCTGCGCAGGCCAACCCGGATCCTGAAGATATCCTACCCGAGGCCGCTTGGCACAATGCTTGGCATGCTTGGCACGACACCCCGCATAACGACAGGCTCATGATGGGTCTAAGGATCCACGCCGTGGAACTTTCACTTTCATGACTGAGTCATCGAGAGGGAAACGACGCTGTTTCCCGGCTTGAAGAGAGAGGCCGTAGGCACAGAGAGCCATCGCTTGTGCCTGGAAGGCAAGCTGAAGCATTCGCCGGAAGCCGGCAACTTGAAGGTGGATGTATGGAGCCTGGTCGAGAAGCCATCCAAGGAGAAGGCAATTGAGAGTGAAGCCACACAAAGAGTGTTTGCTGTCATGGTGTCCCGAGCTGTCAGGTGCCCAGAGTAGAAGAGACCTTCCGAGGCTGCAATTCCGCATCGCACTCGAGGGTTGGCGAGTTCGCTGAAAACTTGATACTTGCTGTGAAATGACCAAGGCACAGGACGACAAGCGGCGGTCAAAGTGGCTAGCCAACCATCATGTGGTGCACCTCGGCGTATGTCGGCAACATCGGCCCGCGGCCTGCTGGCTTCTTTTGTTGGGAGGTGAGTAGATGTACGATTACATGCATGGATGCACACACACACACACACACACTCTCTCTCTCATATATATATACATAATTTCACATACAGAGAATTGTATATTGTATATATTCATATATCCCAATACACGCACACACACACACATATGTTGAGGGCCCCAGTCTCCATGAAGAATTGGGTAACATCAGCCTGCCTTATAAGTCTCAGCGCCGCGAGCTGAGGTTTTGACCCGCTCGTCTACGCATGTGGGGTGTCAGGTGCACAGGACGAGGAAATAGGGCAAAGGGGCTGCAGAGTGCAGCCGGGATGTGTCGGCCTGGGTTTGAGGCACGGCTGCAACATCAGCAAGGGCCATGGCGAAGCCATGTGTTTCTTGAGTGTAGCAACCGGCAGGATACCTGAACAATCGTGGCGTGCTGCAGAACAGACGTCCCTGTGCCTTCACGTCTGGGCATGTCTGGGGGTCTGGGCATCACTCCGTCTGCTTCCGGTCTTCGAAGTGCGGGATCGCGGCCGTAGGCAACCAAGATGGAAACTTTCTCTGCCGGCTGCCAACTCTTGGCTCAGACACCACGCCGAATAATCGGAGTTCCGTTGAGAAATCGCTGCCGGCTCCGGTCTCACTCCCCTGCACGTACAGCCTGTGCAACTCTAGCCCACCGTGTGCTTCACCGACACTAGAGCTGCTTTGTGTCGTCATCTTTTGTGATTGGAGCGATGGCGGCCGCTTGCGCTTGTGGTCCTGTGACCACCTCAAGCCGGTAAGCAAGACTGTGTTGTCTCACTTCTGCGGTACACAGTCTTACATGGCGATGTTAAGGACATCATAGCAGTCTCTCGTACGACAGTTTGCTTGCCAAGGCACCAGTGCTTCCTAAGCGCATAGGAAACCAGGACTTGGAGGTGGGGTTGATGTGGTGCAAGCTAGCTTGCTTGCTTGTGCCTGGAGGCAACTGTCACTGCAGCCTTGTTTGGCCGCACAACTGCCTTCCTGATATCAGCATGTGGCTCACCAGCTGCTTGAGAAAAGTTGACTCATTCCTCAGAAGCGTTAGATGCTCGCGATAGAGAAGTCGTCTGCTTGTCCACGACGCAATGATTCCTTGCTTTGAAGCAACAAGCCGAATATCTTCAGGCACAGGATTGCAGGATCTCAGGAGAATCTCAGGTGTGCAGAGTGATGCATGAGCTTGCGCAGGCCTCTGCAATGCTTGCGGCCGTGCTTGTTCGGCCGCCCCGGATTGTGTGGAGCCACACGGCTGCAAGGTAAGAGCGGCGGTTGCTCCGGAGTCTGGTCCCGCTGAGGGCTTGCTGCCAACCAGCACTGAACGTCTGCAACAGACCTTTGGGATGCTATGTTGTGGCTGCTCTGCCCTTAGTCTCTGTGGACGTCGCTTGCATGACCTGCTAGGCAACTAGGCAGCTGGGATCACTTGCAGGCCTTGGTGACAAATCTTCCAGCGGCTGTCTTGGAATCTCGGCAGCAGGGAGTGCTTTTGCCAGTGGAGGGTAGTGATAGAGCCGAGGCCTACCAAAGCTCCACATATTCCCAAGTGCGCTATTGCAAGTCTGCTCCGGTGACTTGGCATCGCCAGCCGCCTCCCATGACTCTACTTTGCCGTGGAGAAGATGCTTCTAGTCCCCTGCAGTGTTGAAATGCCGGGTCGGTTGATCATGCACAAGAAGCATGAACACACACATCTGAGTGCGAAAGCTTGTCGACGTAGGTCCTCATATCAGTCGCTCCCAGGTCTTGAACTTCTGCCACGGCGCGATTGTACTGAGCTTGACCAGACCTCAGTGCCAGTACGAAGTTGCCCACAAGCCTTACCAAGAGCTACAGCTGCGGCTAAGAAGAGCCTTCGGCTCGTAGGAAGCCCCTCCGCTTTAGTTGACACGGGCCAGGACCAATATTGCATTCGCGTTCTACATGCAATGGAGACTTGTGGCAGCACTCCGATCCGGGGGCGAAGGTGGTGCAAGAACTTTGCTGCAGCAGGCAACCTGCTCCATGAAACACTAGCAAGCCACTCCTCTGTTTTGCAGTGCAGACGCAGGCAAGCGGCATTGTCTTGTATGATTTCGTCTTCTGCATTTACGTGTTCCTCTTTGCTGCCGGAATGATATATTGCTTCTTTGGAATAGGGAGGCTTGGCTTGAACCCGTACACACGAGCACCTCCTTGGGGCTCTGCTTAGTTCATCGCACTTCCAAGGTGGTGGCAATCTTGTGATGTGGACTCCTGGAATCCCTTCTGGGCTGCGTTCCTCATCCTTCTGTTTGGGCTGTGGAGCGGCATCTTCAGCTGCTGTTGGGGTAGCTAGCTGCAAATTGACATCGTGCAACGTCGTGCTTTGCTTCGTCTAACGAGGCCACGTTTCTACTAAACAAAAATTCTTACTCTGTTGCAGGCCTGAGCTTGGGCTGCTGGGGTGTCCTGGAAAGCCTCGGCGTCTCGTCTTCCGTAGCTCGCCTTGTCTTCGGTGCAGCCGATGGACCTTCCACCGCGCCTGCAACCGTCCAACCTCGGCAATCCTGTCGAGAGATGAGCCCTGGCAGAACTTAATGCCGCGATTCGCAGGCGTCGGTTGCGCGGTGCAGCGCGATGCGAAGGTTGATGTGATTGTATCTGACTGAAGGCGTGGAGATCTGGGGCCTGTTGCTGCACAGGCGCTTCAGGATCGGGCCTCGTCATCTCGAACAAGCGTGATTCTTCAGTCATGTAGCATGCAAACAGCGTCGACTTGCAGGGAGCTCCGGCGCCGTGATGATATGGATTTCAAAAGCAAAGCTGCGTCCACCTCAGCTCATGCTGACTTGAGTCAGCTGAGGCTCACCTACACGCTCACTAGAGAACTCAAGGCGTCAGACAGACAGCACCTGCCTGTGCAAGAACGGGTCTTGCGCGCCCAGCTCGAACATCCCGCACCGTGAGCAAGCTGTCTGCCCAAAGATCGTGAATGGTGCGTGGAGCAAAAGATGCCCCCCCACTGCAGTCGCTGACTGGGGGAAGGGGAAGCACTGCCAGTTTGTTCCGAACCACATCTGTCGCTGCAGAAAATGACATCGACGACTCGTTTGCAAGCCGCCGAAGTGAAGGCCCGCTCTGGAGAGAAGAGTGTGCTGACAGAGACCGGCCTAAGTCGTCCGTTCCTGTGCACGCATGAGTGTAGGCGCTTTATGCCCGCTTTCGGCGGCTGGCCCCGTCAGGCCTCGCCAGGACATAGAATTGTGGTGCGTATGTGTCAGTGGAAGCCGTCTGTGAAGGCTATTTGCTTCAGCAGCAGTTTCAACAAACCATGGGCGTCATGGGACTCACAGACGACCATTTTCTCGTCGATCGGATGTTCCAGGTGTCAGGTCCCAAGCCAGAGCAGTCTAGAGCTTTGCAAACCTTTAAATCTTCTTCGCAAGCAGCCTCAATGTCGTGCCATGTTTCGCCTCAGGTTCGACACTGATCACGACGGCAAGCTGAGTTTTATAGAGTTTGCCTCTGCGCCCGGAGCCAGGAATGAATGTCATACCAGCTCCCTTTGCATAGAGTCGCGTTGTGCTTTGTTACCAAGGCTTGCCATTATGATCCGTGGCACCGAGGACGTTGTCAAGCTCAGGCACCGCGGGGCCTCTTCCCGATGGGTTTTTTCTTGAGGATGACAAGCTCGCGTTCAGCTTCAAGATCGTGGGCGGCAAAGAGGTTGCCTGTTCGGACTGTTAAAGGTCTTGACTCGACTTGGATCGGTGACCGGCACGCAGCAGGCATCCGGCGTGCGGCTGGAGGACTTCCAACAGCTGGTTCTGTCCTTGGTGGTGACAAGCGTGCTAGATAGACTGTCTGGTGAGAGTGGAATGTGGCAAGGTGGCGTCCTACAACCGGATGATGTCCAGCCCTGGGAAAGGTTCAGCACCAGATGCAGCGTGCATGAGAGACACAGAGGGAGGGAGAGCCGACGTCAGCGCATGCTGGGAGCCCGGCGGCTGCCAGCCTATCGAGGGAAGAAAAGAAGAACAACAGCCAATTTTGCGTGGTGGTTGAAGAAGGTTTCACATGTTCTATGATGTTTTCAAAGCAGATGCAGGAAGGAGACGAAGGCAAAAAGAGGACAAGTAACAGATAAGATGGGATCCTGCCTCCCTGCAAGCACGACGATCCAGCAAGCTGGCCCAGTGAGAGTTCACCACGTGGCTCCGCTTCTTTGATTTGTTGGTGGGGCTCATGACTTCCAGCTCAGTTTCGCAATGGCGGCAAGAAACAACTTCTCGAGTTGTGTGCTCATCAGGCCTCTTGTTTGCCTTGCATGTCATTCTTATCGCTTCCTACCAGCCACCTCAGCGTCGCAGGAAAGCCTTAAGATGCCGTTGACTGCTGCCCCTATGCCAGTTTTAGATCCAAACCTTCAAGTCACTCAACGCACCCGAAACTAGAAACCTTACCCTTCCTTGCAACCGATGTACCCCTAAAAACCTTAAGGCGAATCCTGAAACCTGGTCGCGGCGTCAACCGTGACCGCG